TTGTGCAACATTTAACATTTCTGCCATTTGTGTCTGACTCAAAGTGTCATCTTCATCCAATATTGTTTGCAATTCGGTGTCTTCAAACTTTTTTGGTGGTTTTCCACGTTCTTTATTTCTCACATCAAAATCATTATCTCTGAACCGTTGAAACCATCTTTTGCATGTTGCTTCTGATAGAGCATGATCACCATATGCCTCGACAAGCATTTGATGCGACTCTGCAGCACTTTTCTTCAAATGAAAACAAAAAATTAATGCTTTCCGCAAATCATCATTTTCTGGTACAAAATTCGACATTTTTAACACGATGAAAAAATATGATGTTGTTTGTTCAATAACTTGATGTAAACTGAATATGTTTGATAGATGTCATAGAAACCAAACAAAACAAAATTATGGCCCGTTCAAAATAAATGTTCCCTATCGAGACATTTGTATTTTGACGCTCACTTCATACCGGTACACCTGGTATTTCTCACTTCAAGATAATAAATACACATATGTCATAGTCACATTCACGCATTACTGTTACATTAATAAGCTGATAATATTTAAGTGAAGAGAATTTCTATATCAACATGATTTCTTAGTGGCTGTCATCATCAGCTTTATTGTTTACGGATTCCTTCAATTCTTGCCCAGCATTTTCGACACGATCTTTCCATTAAACGAAACACGCCCACGCCAACTCTACGCTATAACGGAATATTTCGTCGACAAAAGAACATACCATAATCCAATTATGTGCCACTGGTTGGTCGGTGTATTTTTCAATCTTTTTATTTTGACAGCCACAATTACGTTACCCATTGTATACATGCAACATATTTGCGGAATGTTAAGTGTCGCCAGGTAAACCTTATAGATTGCACAATAACGCAGAAATGATAGTTTATATAACTTTAGTTATATAAGATAATAAATATATAAAAGAATTTTTCTTTGGAAAACATTGTACCCTAAGAGAAATAGCGTACGCGCACAAATATCGTTTCCGAAATTACTAGTAAACGAATGATTAAATATTATTGTAGCTATCGAATTAATCATGCGATTGATAACCACACATCATATAAGCATCCAGGGAAAGAAGATCGTGTGATTGTTCAGAACATAAGCGCCGCAGTAGATTTGCACCGAAAAGCTGTCAAGTCGGTATCGATATCATACATTAACAAATTTCTTGCAACAATCAAAGTATTCCTAGATTTCATATACGAAGGAAATTGTCTACATTTTGAGCGATACGGCCTCTTACTTAATTATTATATCACATTTTTCATCGAAGGTGCGGCTTCTTCTTGTCAACTACTTTTGCATCAGATTACTCCGTCTTAATACTATTAGGTGTTTTAAGTTTGAGTTTAAATTTGATCCGTGTAAGTATCCTTCCTTAAAACTCCTTATACTTCATAACTTTTATTTTCAATAATATATAAACTCTACAAAATTGTGATGTATTGTTCCATATTCTAGTTGCTTAAAGCTATATCCATGCAAAGGAATATAATTGAGTTGTTTTCGTCGGTAATATTAGTTAGTGTACATTTCATAATAATGTTTCTAGATAATTATTACGGACAAAAGTTTACGGATCATAATGACAAAATATTCTACGAAGCGTGAGTTTTTGTTAAGTTCTTATAGATACTAATTCGAAGTCATACTATCATGAGATCAATGTTCAAAGGAAGTGAAGAAGAGGCCGAAATTATTTTCTTATTGATATACAGATATAACACGCGATGGTACACGGTTTCAGTGAGAATACAAAAGATGTTACTATTTATTATGAAGAATAACACGAAGTCATGCATTTTAAATATCGGTAACTTAATTATGGCCTCGGTTGAAGGTTTTACTAAGGTAATATTTAGTGGAATGGAAGAATTCAATATCCAAACGAATAAATATTGTTCAATAAATTTCCCTTTCAGCTTGCAAGCATGTCGATGTCTTATTTCACGGTAATCTATTCTTTGCAATAATAAAACAGACCAAACTAAAATTATCAAAAATTTCATAATAGTACGTAGCTTAATTATTCGGCGAACTAAGCGCAAAATGTACATGCTAAAGGAGCATTGATTATTGTAACAGCTCGAAAATAAAGTATCTTGCGAGAGAAGTTATCGGTACACATATCGCAATATATCACATTCGTCTTCATTTGTCATGATTAGAGAAAATGTAAATAGTAAAATATTTACGCAATAATGGTTTTATCTTACTTTCTTTCTTCCTGTATCGCGATGAAAATGCTCGAATGTACGTAAATTTTATACTCTTGTAGTATATGTTTTCACTTTTTGGTTTTCACTTTACATCCACCTGTTCGGGTATATAAAAATTCGCACTCACAACGGAAGAATAGAACATCGTCAATTAATCGCGCATGAAATGCGTCTTTGGTAATTTACCGCAATTCTTTCCTCAGTATGTTGAATATTATTCTCAACTTGCTTTTGTGGGGAAAACAGACTCCCGAGGAGACAGCCGATATGAGAATAAAATTTCTGGCCGCTTTTGAAACGGCGACATTGCGCAAGTGCGCTCGCGCCGGTTCAGAACGGAATATCTCCACGAGAGAATCAGTTGTCGCCTTCGAGACGGTTTATACTTGTCCGTGTGCGTCTTCGCACGTCCTTGAGAAATTATTTCGCGGAGCTTCTTAAATCATGGGACAAAGGGAAATACGGACCTTCATCGACGTAAAAGAGAATAGCGGAAGTGCAACACCCGATAATTAAAGCAATGATAAAAGCAGTGTTATGTTTGCAGCGATATGTTATCGATAATGTTTTGTAGAAACACAACAAAGGAAACGTGCAGTTTTCATTCGTTAAGCAGGTAAGTAACATACCGTGCATAATTTCGCAATCTACTTCTTTCCCCGTCTCCGTTTGATTTTTCTTCGTACACTATCAGATCCAACTCTTTTGTCTCGAACTAGCGGACTCTACATCGAATATAGTATACGTTAGAAAAACGTCGCTATGACATGCAATGCTGTTGCGAAGTCGGATCGAACTGCAATGAAACAGCCCGATCACTGCGCCTGCGTCGATGCGCGAGAAAAGATACCTGTATTTCCCGACGTAATTTACGCGACAATGTAACACGCCGCAATGTTACACGCTCTAATTTCGATTATTATCTCGACAGGTTATTTCCGCTCTACAGCGGGGAGTAGAAAGAAATTGAAAAGAGTCTTGTTTTTTTCGCGCGTACTTGCTGACGGTGCATCTTAAATTGGTCACACCTGTTGTCCGGTTTGTAAATTACGTTACGAATTTGCGAAAAAAGAAAGATCCGTTATGTCTCCCTTTCTAATTTCAACTGCATGATGGGGGACGCAAAACTTTGCGTCGTCGCGACCAATATACGCGTTTTAATTCTCGCCGATAATGGGCTTCGCCGGAGAACAGTACTATAAGCTGAATCGGTTTCTTTTATTAGTTCTTGGCATATGGCCTTATCAGAATTCAAGATTGAAGAAAATTCAAGTGGCCTTTTTCCAAACGTTATTCGTATCCTTTCTGTTAAGTCAGGTAAGGTTAACCCCAGCCTTCTGGTTAACGCTATCTACATTTCTTTCTTAACTCCAGTTTGAAATTTCATTCATCCGTATGAAAAATTTATTTGAAACCCGAATTTAACGATTGTATTATATTAACAATACGAATTTACGATGAACGACTGCGTCGTTCAATGGACAATTTTCGCATTGACTGCATGAAGAAACGACCGTTCACGTATTTTTTTTTTTCTAAACTTTCAATGAAAGTGTTGGTTTCAGCTTAATACGTTTCTCGTGAAAGAATGCAACCTCGATCTTTTTATCAAAGTTATGACATTTGTCGTGATTAATGGCATTTATATTATAAAATACAACGGATTCCTTCTACTCAGCGATAATGTAAGTATTGCTTTTAACTTATTCGGAATTCCGTCACGTCGTGCCATTTATTCGTACTATTTCCGACTTTTCTAATACGATCAACGGACACTAATTAATCGTCAGATGTATCGGGGAGACTCTATTAAGTGTTATTATATAAAAATAATGAAGTTTTACTGAGATGAAACATAACACGAAGAAGAAATAACTTTACAGAAAACACTGATAGAAAATAACAATTACTTTCGGTGCCAAACATACCCACTTTTTTATATTAACCATAAAAATAGAAGAACCATTTTCCTAGTAAATGTTTCTACAGTGTCAATGGTAATAACTTTATATATATGCTGCTACTACTATAAAATATGTTTGGTACCAAAAATAATTCTAATTTTCTATCAGTGTAAAACATACACGTTTTCCTGCTTTTGATCGTAGATCAGATATATCTTCGACAGAATTCAGTACGATTGGAACATGTTAAAGAGTCAGGAGGAACTGAAGATAATACAAAAGTACGCAGACAACGCGAGATTGTACACGATCCAATTTTTCTGTAAGAATTCAAGCCGAATATAATCGATTTCATTGCGACGTTCAACTCCATTTTCTGACACGCATATTTTGATGCGCGTTATTACATTACTCACAGGCAATTCCGTTGAGATATCCAATTTAACTACCCCCAAAAAGTGTAACTTTGATTGCAACTTTCCCGTCATTTTTGTCCTAAAAAATATTTTATTATTAAAATTAACGACCCCCCTCGCAAAAATTTCTATTTTTTTAAATCATGCATCTGCGTGACTCTGGCATGTTAAAATCGTAGCAATAAGACCGCTTAATATGTTTTGCGAAATACATAACGTAACAATTTGCATGCTTCAGCTTTGGCCATTTTCTTTACACTGGCATACGTAGTGATACATTGTATACCGATTATGCTCGATATGATCATACCGATGAACGAATCTCGACCGCGATCGCTTCTATTTATAACGGAACTCTTCGTCGATCAAAATACGCATTTCTACACTATTTTAATGTATTACTGCTTAACTAATTACGCCGGTTGTGTCACGATTGCGGCCATTGCGACGATTCTTGTCGCGTATGTACTGCACACCTGCGCTCTGTTCCAAATCACCAGGTAATGCAAAGATCTTTTTAAATTTTATGCAAGAGAGTAAAAGCACCAAGGGTTTAATAACACCGACGTATTTTCAGCAGCTACCGTATAGAAAGAATGTTCGATAAAAGTAGGAACCCGAGGAACATTAAGCAACGTATACTTTATGAGAAATTAATTTGTGCTGTCTACATTCACCGTCGAGCTATGGAGTTAGTATTAGGCATTAGCTTTTCGCTCCTATCGCGCTCAAAGCCTGTTTTGCGCGGATAATGTTTGATTCATACTCTCGGTCAGATCACAATTAGATCACACCCATATTAAGCTGGACTCCTCCCTACTGTCACAAATCGAGCGTTCACTAATAAAAAAAAATGTAGGGCTGTTTTAGTGCTTATTAGTTGCTCTGTTTCTGATTTTGTTGTTCAAACGATTTAATATAAGTAGGAAAGAATAGCCGGTTCTGGCGCAATTGGATCTGTTTTACCGGCCGAGTAGCAAAAACCAGTTGGTGCAGTTAGCGCAGTTGGCGCAGTCGGCGCTGTTTTTATTTTTTTACCGGCCGAATAGCAGCGGTCGGTAGGCGCTGTTTTTTTTTAACCGGCCGCTGCTATTCGGTCGGTAAAGAAATAAAAACAGCGCCAACTGCGCTAACTGCGCCAACTGGTTTTTGCTACTCGGCCGGTAAAACAGATCCAATTGCGCCAGAACCGGCTATTCTTTCCTACTAATATAACTCATATGTAGAAAAGTCGTACGACAAGAAAAATTACATGAGAATTTGTTACTATTTGGTTACTCTCTGCTAGTATGAAAAAATTCGGAAAAATAATATTCTTAAAGAAATGCCATCGCACGCGGTACCTGATAAATGATGATATTTCATTAAAAATCGTTTTATCTCTCCCCATTTTTTGTTATCTTAGAGCAACAAAATAGCAACAATTCTGAATACAGACCTAAGAGCGATAGAGAGTGAAGCTTTCTTTCTCGGACATATTTAAGAACCCTCATAGAAAGGATTGAGCGCAAAGGACCTGAACCTCGTAGCAATAGATTGATAATGAACGGCGTATTTTATTATTGAAGTTTGAGCAATATTATGACGACCAGTTTCGCGACATACTATTTCATATTATTAGGATTCGGTGTGGCCGCAGTGAGCTTCTCTTTTTTTCGTGTAAGTGCGATTTATAATATAAAGGGTACGTAGTTATCATCTATTCAAGATCCCCGATCGTTTCTCGTGCATATACGCTAAAAACATGTAATTAAGTTTGATAACGTTCGTTTCGCGTGCAGTTACTCAACGCGGCAATTTTACTGGATAATCCATTGGAACTAACGACGTTTGTTGCCCTTATGTTTGTGGAATTATACTATATATTTCTGGGCAACTATGTCGGTCAGGACGTCATAGATATAAGCGCCGGCATTTGTCAGATCACGTGAATATCGTATCATAACCACTTATATCGTTGTATATCGTTTTTAATGCGTACAGTGTACAAAAGTCCGGGATGGTCCATATTTTAGAAAATAAATATTTTACAAAAAAATGTTTTCGGCCAAAGTGATAGCGTTTAAAACAATCTATCTAATAATCTACATATTTTGACCTTGGACAACCTCGGGATGTTTGGAACACCCTTTTTTAAAATGTAAATCTCCAGATTTAGAATTTCAGAAATTCTTTTACTAAATTTCAATAATTATGAACTGGAATATAGTACACCAGAATTGAACAGAAATAAACATTAAAACCCATTTATATTTTAGTTTTTATATTTCAGTTTACTGTAATTAACTAAAAAAGATATATTTATCAATGGAGATTTATATTTTTAAAACATATGCAAAAATGTTATTTACAAAATAACATTTTAGTAAATACATTTCATTTCATTTACTGAAATTAAGAACATTTTTTCTTAATGTATATATCTATATGAATTTAACGAAAATCAAGACTGCACTGAGAAAAAAATAAAAAATTTATTCGTAGGATATAAGGTTTATTTCTCTGTGAAATAAACATTCCAACGGATAAATTTTTAAGCATTTTCTTCTCCGTATTAATAATCATCATTCTGACGATACCACATCTATGTTGTTCGCTGATTCGTACGCATTTTAACAGATATAGCACGCAGTGGTACGCGGCGCCATTGTGGGTGCAGAAATCATTGCTGCTCGTGATGCTAAGAAGTGGCAGAAATAGCGCTTTAACGGCTGGCGGTTTGTTCCAGGCGTCGCTAGAAGGTTTCGCTATGGTAAGGTAACGGACACTGTGAGATAATTATTACTTGCATTTTCGCACGAATATCGCATAAAGAAAGAATATCGATTGTAGCTCATGAGCGCGTCCATATCCTACGTCATGCTCCTTCTTTCGATGCGGGGGCAACAGAGTAAACTAGGCGGGGAAGTATAGTCGCGTTTAACGAAGTTGGTTTGTATGTTCGTGGAATATGTATGTACATAGCTTATTACGCGTTACCTCTTTGTAGAAATGTTTAAGTAAATTTTATTGAGCAACGTCGATCTCTTCTTCCTCGAGATTGTTCCCATTATATGTAGTCCGTGTATTAATTAAACATAGAATATTTCATGTTAAAAAGTAATATCAATAACAGAAGATTAAATCGGCCTAAAACTTATAAGTTGGTAAATAAATGTGCGATGAGTGTCAATAAATAAAATACTTCCGTATGTATGAACCATTAAATCAACCCTGACAACATAGATTGAGCAAACCTTTCCAATAGAGACGTTCTTCCTCCGTCACAAGAATACACAAAATGAATGCGATTCGCTTTATATCTCCAACGACGTGCTCAGCGATGTGCAGAATTCACGATAGGAATTACGGCATTCTTACTTATATATATATATATTTATTCTCAATATTATCTTTACCTCTATATTATCTTTACATCTGACGGTCGTTGCACCTTGCTAGTTTCTGTCAAAACGCAGTTAAATCACTGAGTATTCGAAGTACGTATTCCGCACGACTCACTGGAAACCACATGGAAGCTAAACAGGGCAGAGGGAACACAATCACATTCACGCAATTCACTGAAAAATTCCAAATCGACGCGCGACGCGGCTTCACGAACTGGCGGAATTCTACCGTGTTACGAACGCGCGCTGTCAATATCTTCGCGGTCCGTGGCGCCATGTAGACACCAGGTGTTTCGCGACAACGCGGGAAAGCGAAGCTCCTCTTTGCACGACGGCTCGTGCGATATTGAGGGAAGGGCCGCATGTGAGGAGCATTAGTTGCTATTGCGCCCGCGCCGCAACGTCGGCGCCGACTCCCCACCGCGTTGTCAGGTAGATAAACATTGTGGCTTCTACCAAGTGCGTTTTTACCGAACGAAAAATCACGGAGAACGTAAGTACGGGGAACAATATTTGGCAGCATGTGTAATATAAAGAAGCTTATGAAAACAACGAGGAGAAAAGTATAAATACTAAAAGAGGGAGGCCGATTGAAATCTCGAGAAAGTTATTTTCTTGCATCGTATTATATTTCCTTTCGTAAAAGTGTTTCATTTTATACATTCGCACAAAAATAATCACGGTGTGATAAAAGATTATTATTATTATTATTATTATTATTATTATTATTATTTCTTTACCTCCGTTTATTGTTGATGACAGATAAAGGAACTGATGGGACACATTCGAAATGACTGGAACGCCTTAAAAAATTATAATGAGCTTAAGATAATCAATCGATACGCGAGATCGTCTGTAATATTCACTAAGTCTTTAACAAGTAAATAAGTAACTCGGCAATAATGATGATAGTGAACCATAGCTGCATACTTTAGCTACATTGATTTGAACATATAGAATCGCATATGAACATCGATGCTGGCAGCAGTATCACGTCTCACCTCAAAACATCTAATTATTATCGTCCGAATGATTTCAGTGTTGATTTATATATCTTTCATTATGATTATGTGCATTCAGCCAAATTTCCTTAACGTCGTAGCGCCTCTGAACAAATCTCGACGAGCCGAATTGTTATTTCGGGTCGAGTATTTCGTCGACCAGGAGGAATATTATCACATAATACAATTGCATTTAGATGTAGGATTAATGGTCGCTGCGACCACGATTCTGGCTGCTGAATCGTTTTGTTTAACGGTCTGTATGCACGCATACGGAATGTTTAAAATAGCGAGGTGCATATGGCGTATAACATACGTTAGTAATCGCGTTGCTAAGGGGGGCGGCGTCCCTTTGAGTTTACGTTTTTGTTTCTATAGTTATCGCGTGGAGTATATAATCGACGCGAATACGCCGTGCGTTTTTATTGGAAATCGTTACGTCTCTTACGACAGTGTGGTAGCCGCTGTGAATGGTCACAGAAGAGCAGTCGAGTCAGTGCCGTAAATATAGTTGTAATATATTTGATAAACAAATACATTCACTTGCATGTCGTTCGCATTTCGTCAAAAGTATGTGATTGAGTGCTCTCTATAAAAATCGAAATCATGTGTTTTAATGTAAATTCTATTTCGAATCTCTTCTCAGCATATAGATTTGTTGCTGGAAGCGAAACGATAATGATATACTATATGTACGTCATACATCGTTTTAATAATTTGAGTATTAGTTTTAATAATACCGCCATCGAAAATACAAAAAAGATTTACTCCAATTATGGCACTATTGACCAATTCTATTGATGTAACAGCAATTTTTTCTGTAAATGAGTAATCATATTGGATCATTAGTGCGCTCGTGTTAGCTGCTGTGCGTATATGTGCGTGCGGATATGACATCCGCTATTGATTCTTGCGGCTCAGCTGATATTGATTTTCATAGCTCAGTCGCGTAAATCAATAACAAATGATAGGTCGGCACGCGTGCACGCATACATTCGAACGCGAGTACCCGAAATCTATCGCGATATCATCGGCTAACTGTCGTTTTTAACTCGGAAACTATTACGACTTCGGGATTTCCGTCTTAGTACATATTATTGTTAATTAACTTCTAGAAAACGCTATTAAAATGTCGTACCAAAAATTTTACGGCCTTTCATCGACTATTTAAATAACGTTTAGATTTGTTTCTTTATATTCTACGATATACATTCTAATGCGAAATATCAGTGTATGCATGTGTCACTGAATGTCACGATATATTAGGTTGGTGCGTATGAAATGTCGCATTCTCTTTACATGCGGACGTTTTCCTCCCTGTTTTCGTTATACTTTTGTATTTGGCATAACCTCATTCATACTCGTATTGTCCATTGCCAGAGACTCATTTCAACAAAATAGGTTTTCTCGAAGGTCTTCCCTTTTTTATTTCTTTTGAGTTTATTACCGATATGAATTCTGCCGACATTCGCGTCATTTTCTTATATGAGTACAAACTTGGTAATAGTGCTGCAAAAGCTGCACGCAACATAAACCAAGCGTTTGGGGAGAATACGGTTAACAATCGGAAAGTGCAGCGTTGGTTCGAAAAATTTCGGACTGGCGATTTTTCACTGCAAAATGAGCCGCGCGGAAGACCCAAAACGTCTGTGAATAATGATGACCTGAAGGCTCTAGTGGAAGCGGATCCAGCCGTATCCACGAGGGAACTTGCTATCAGGATGAAAGTTGACCATACAACGATATTGAGACACCAAATTGTACTCCCATCGCTTGTGAATCGGCATGGCCCGCTACTGCTCCATGACAACGCTCGGCCGCACACATCGCACAAAACAATTGCGAAACTGAACGAACTGGAATATGAAGTTTTGCAGCATCCACCATATTCACCGGATCTCTCGCCGACCGATTTTCATTTTTTCAAGCATTTAGAGCTGTTTTTAAGAGGCAAACACCATGAAAATGAAGACAGTCTAAAAAACTCGATATCAGAGTTTATTAATTCTAAAGACCAAAATTTTTTTAAGACAGGCATCTACGCTTTAAAATCTCGTTGGGAGAAGTGTATTGAAGCGAATGGAGCATACTTTGATTGAATAAACAGCTTTTGAAGAAAGATATACAGTTTTATACAATCACTTAAGAATCCGACATTTCATATGCACCAACCTAATATTTTCAGTTGCTGGTATTATTCGCTTCGGAATACGAGTTTAATAACGTCCTGAAAATATTATCTTCCCATATTATTTTTACAGCATGTTTCATGAAATACATCACCTTTTACGCTGCGTTCAAGCTCTCTCTCTCTCTCTCTCTCTCTCTCTCTCTCTCTCTCTCTCTCTCTTTCTCTCTCTCTCTCTCTCTGAAAACACGTTTCTTTTGCCTCATCGTTTATTATCTTATTGTCCATTCAATTTGCACGAAAACAAGCGTCTTAAAGATTCATAATTTCCAGTAAAATTACTAACACAGTGATATTATAGTCAAATCATCTTTACTAACCGGATGCTTTCTTACAATTATGTAGATGTGATACGTAATGATATAATGCTTTTAAAGATGCAAAAATTGATATTGTTCTTGATACAGAAAACTACAAAAGCATACAAAGTTGATTGCATTGGTATGTTTTATCCTAGCTTGGAAGGTTTAGCCTCGGTAAGAAATTATAGATAAATACTGACAGAAGCAATAATTACATCGACCGGCTAAAAGATCTCCTGTATTTTAGGGCTTGAGTATGTTGGTCTCTTATTTTAGGATTCTCTGTTCCATATAATCGCACAGTTCCAAAGTACGGAAGGTAGTGCAGTTAATCTCTTATTTCGAAGATACACAATAATGATATTAACACGAGTAGTGTAAATAAATATGAAATTAACGGATTTAATATAAATAGATTTTAAATAAAATGATAAATCCGCGAATCTTGTTATTTATATATTATAAAGAGCATGTCGATATTTAAGCTTTTTCTCTGTTCCGCTCGTATTTCTTACATATATATGTGTAATTTTATTATAAATAGCGTCATTATTAAATTAAAGTATTTTGATCATGTACATACTGAAAATAATTAAAATCTATAATGAAGCAGAGACATATTTCACCTGCCGACACCATTTTCTCCCTTGATTCCCAATTATTTTGTACAATCTTCTTTGATTACATGTATTAACTGGTAACAACTTTTTAGTAATCGCAGGAAAAGTATATTACATAAATATGATCTGCAGATATGTACGTCTAAAAGATATCTCACATCCGGTCTTTCTTTTCATCGTAAGAGTTCAGAAACGCAAAACACTAAAACTGGATACTGTAACACTGCGTCCGCGATGACACGAGACGTATCAATGGAGATATCTTGTTCAGCACTGCGCTTGCGTGCCTTTAAAGGGAACAAAAAATAGGAAACATTGAATTGACTCTATAATTACAAATTGCTACGATTTAGTAATTACCGCGTATTCCCCGGTGAATGTAATACCTCTCCAAAGATAAGATACGCGTCTTCTTTATTTTCCAAATTACTTCACACTTCCCTATATTTCTCTCGCGTGAGTGAATAAATTCCATATTACGAACTGTAATTCTACTACTTACGCGATGAGAAAATACGGCCATAATAAAATGACGATCGAAACGCTCGAGGAAATAATTGCGTACTCACAGCTGAAGAAGAGGAGCGAAACTTCCTACGGACTATAGACATTCAGTAGGGATTCGATTATCATCCGAGATGGAGATACTTGAGGAGCGGTATTTTCGGCTTAATCACATTCTTCTATCAATGGTTGGTCTTTGGCCATATAATAATATCAAAGTTAGACAATTGCGATTCATACTATCGTTATTGATAACAACATCGCTGACGATTACTCAGGTATACGCATTACCATAATATAATATATCTGCAACATATATTTAATTTTGAAACTTAGAAGCTGGCAAAGTGCATCGCTATAATTATATTATACCGGAAGTGTAAATTTATCTTTTCGGTTATCAATTTAATCGTCTATTTAAATAATATGAACATTATATATGTTTCAAAATATTATACAAGCATTGCTGATTATTATGGCATATTTTTAGATATTGAAATTATTCACTTCGAAATTCAAGCTCGATATAGTTCTAAAAATATTGTCTTTGAACACCATTATGATATTGCTGATCATAAAGTACATCACATTTTATGTTATCGTGGACAACGTAAGTTCATAGGCATTTTGATATTCAATTAAATGTCACTCACGGTGATATTTATCGCGCTTACCAATAGGTAAAAATATTTCGGGAATATTTATTGGACAGTTGGAGCAGTTTAACCGATGACCGAGAGATCCAGATAATACATAAGCAAGCAAAAACCAGCAAAACCTTTACGATATTTTTGATAAGTAAACGACAAACAAATATTGATTTTACATTGTTGATGAAATTATTTATTGTTACGATATTACTATTACGATGTTATATATGTATATGTACACGGATTATTATTACGATATTAATAATTATTTATTTCGTTTTTAGCGTTCGTTTATTTGTTGCTTTTTTTCTGCATTTTAATGCAATATCTTCCAAATTTACTCGACATTATAGCGCCATTAAATGTATCTCGTACGTGCCAATATTTGGTTCCAACCGAATATTTTATTGACCAGCAGAAGTACTTTCATATCATAGCAGTGAATATAAATATTGGATTGCTCACTTTAGGAACCACCGGCTTAGCTACCGAAACGTTCGCATTAGCAAACGCATTGTACGCTTTCGGGCTGTTTAAAATAGCTAGGTAAATATTATTATTCCGTACCACGTATTAAACGTACCATGCTCAATTAATTTGCACTTTTATTACATGTGATATATCTAAGTTCTTTTGAATAAGAAAATATTGTCAAATAGAAGTAGCAAATTTTATGATTGGATTAATTTGCTGATATAAATTACACTTTACATTCAGGAGATATTGTTTGTTGTATTACTTCCATATATTTATTTTCTCTAATAAACTCATGATACATTTGGATTTTTATGCGATATTTAATATTTATTTTAATATTTACTGGGATGTATACCGTCTTAATATTACCACACGTAAAATAGCTATGTACGATAGCTATAATTTTAATGCATTAAATTGCTGACCATGTTACATTATCTACTTAATATATTAGTTACATGTATCAGTCATTGAAAAAAATATTTGTAGTTATCGAATGAAAGGTATATTAAGTGGAAATCATCTACAGACATATACCAATAAGGAATATATCATATCTCGTAACAGAATAACAGCTGCAGTGGACATGCATAGACGAGCGATTCAGTAAGTAAACTATTTAAAAAATTAAAATATAGATACTACACATTACCGATTGTTTATAACCGGGTACTTATATTGTAATTCATCTCATCAGTGACATATAAAATTCATCTGCAACTGCAATTTTTGAAGATTATTTTGCGTGTACCTTAACTTATTTCAAATTAAGAATATGACCATTAGTTTGAATTACGCTAATTAATTACCTAACATATATGAAGAGATTAATAACGAGCAATATTCTATTCTATAAGATATTCTGAATTGTTAAAGAAAAGCTATGGACCTATGTATTTACTCTTGTTTATGGGATGTGTATTTTCGACAAGCATCAATCTATTTTACGTGAGTAGCATAATATTTACAGAAGAAAGTTCCGTTCGCTTCTCATAACTTTTACAAAAACATTTGCGATGGCAAATCTGATTCATAGCTGATTCATTCACATATATTCAATTTATGTTTATTTTCAGCTACTTCGAGCATTAACGATAGGAAAAGGCGTGCTGGAAATTATCGAACATATTTTGTTTATAGTTTTGTTTGTAATATCTTTGATCGCAGCTAATTACGTCGGGCAGCAATTTATTAATTGCGATTTAAACGTATATCGAACTATGTAAGTAATATAATTAATATTGTAATATCTCTCCTACACAATATATTTCATTTTATTTCTCAAATAATGCTATTATTGCGCTTTGCTAAAATTTGATCATTCTTTCTCACCGGACGATATTTTCCGACAATTATATAGATGTAACACGCGATGGTACAATGCTCCTTTAAAGACGCAAAAATTGATACTCTTCTTAATACAGAAAACAACAAAATGTTACAAAGTTGACGCCGGTGGTATGTTTAGTCCTAGCTTAGAAGGTTTAGTCACGGTAAGAAAACAGATTATTATTAAAATAACAGCCATAACAGTTATATCAACTAGTTAAAGGGTCCCTGATGTTTTAGGGTTTGAATATGTCGGTCTCTTATTTTATGGTATTTTACTCCATATAAACGTAATATTAGATATTACAAACAACACATTGCTGTTATTCTTATTTTTGTTTTGAGATATGTAATATTTATGTTGACAAATAACGTAATATGCCTAACTTGCAATACACAAGTAGAACGAAAGAAATAAATTAAATTATTGAAATGTATATGAAGTACAAATAAACGAATTTATAATTTCTTCTTCTTATTTGTTACATTTCAAATATTTTTTTGTTTAATTGTTTTATATACAAGATGTCCCAGATCAACAGAGACAAACTTCGTGGATGCGTAAAACGGATTGAGGTGAAGAAAAAGTTTTCTACTATTTTTCAAATACACGCAAAATATCGAGTTTTTGATTATTAAAAATGGCTATATATAGCGGCTTCTTTAACTAATAATTAAAAAAATTTGCGAGTTATTTACAAAATAGTGCATCTTCATCTTCACGTGTGATCAATGTTATAATATATAATAATAGTAATTATTATTATAATAGTATATATATATATATATATATATATATATATAATGATAGTAATTATTAGTTATTGTTATTTATAAGTAAATAACCGTAATAAACATAATATTTATAACGGAAGATGTAAATTTGCACATGCACGAAAGTCACTTTCACAACTTGATCAATTACAATTGCGATTTACAAATCGATAACCAATATTGCATAGTAAAAAGTTGGAACTCTTACTCGTATAGATCCTATATAGTACACTTCGTCTTAATACATATTACATGTGAATACATGTGAACTTGTCATCAAAATATCCCGAATACATGAAATTTCTAATTTAATATGTATTATTATGATTTGACCATCTTTTAAATCTCTGTTTGAATATTCGGAATGATAAAATATTTCATATTGAACACGACAACACTTCAATGTTTGATTCGTAAACGTGTCAGTCTTATCGGTACGACAATTTGTTCTTTATTGCGCTTGCGTTCTTGGAGGGAGCAAAAAACGAAATATTGAAATGCGTAGATAACTAAAATTTGCGGTAATTTAATAATTTTCAGTCATTTCCTCTCAATAAAAGAAAAGGTATAGCTTACTTCTCAACGACAGTATATTTTCATTCTTTATGGTGAATTATTTTAACCTACTCTTAAAATTTTCTTCGTCTACGTACAAGCGATTGATTAATTCCAAAATGATGACCGTACAACTGTTCGGCAAAACGAAGCAGTTATAACAGTTGTACCCACGACAGTCGAGAAGAAACTAAAGAATGATCACCAGCGCAAAATGATGAGCACGCATGCGTCAACTTCTGGCGGAGGGAGACTGTCCTCCTTCGGTGTTATCATCATATTTGATCACTTTACGAAACATTTATCTTGCCATTGGAAATTTCTGCAACAATTACGGGAACACTATCTGGCAAGCGAAGTGCGTTAATCGGCTGATTATCGTTCTTTAACTCGCCGCAGACCGATAAACTTTCTTACTGCAACTCGCCACTTATTATTTTCGCAATTTCACATAACAGCCTCATAATAAAAA